GAGAGACGTATCCGTTCGGATACAGCAGAGAGAAAGAGAAAGAGGATGGCAAGGTCTCATCCCGGCGGATGTGTGCCACACCCCCATTCCCCTCTTTCCCTTCTGTCTCCTGCCTTTCCCTTTTTTTTGTGCTTCACGCCGTTGACGGCCGGCGACCGGGGGGTGGTCGTCGACATGCCCCACTTATTCAGACGACAAGCGAACAGCGAGTGGCCGCCAGATTGAGAAAGACGGGCGCTTAAACGCCGCCGTAGCGGCAAGCCGGGGGCAAGGATGTATGTACGTATTCCCGTAGATAACTTCACGATATCCCGATTTTCCAACCAATGGCGTGTTAGCGTTCCCTAAAATAACATCCCACGACATTTTGTTTCTTTGGATTTATGGCCAATGGGAGGCTCCAGCGCCTGCCTCTTGCTCTTGCCCAAAGTCCAGGTCCGTCGGCTGGGCGCTATGCACGAGCTTCTTTTCCCGTCCCCGGCCAATCAGGTTTACACTTTTCCCGACCTTTGCGCCGTCCTAGACCCTCTTTCTCCCGTTCCTCGCTTCAACCTCTGTCTCCTCTCTCTGTTCGAAGTTCGAACCACCCCCCTTCCATTCACACATCCTCACAGAGCAGAGACAGGTCCATTGCTGAGTACTGACTACTACGCTTCCCCACGCCTGTACGAGCACGGCTTCCGCCCACTGCTGCTGCTGTGCTGCCCTGTGCCTGGCCAGTTGCCTGTGTTGGGATATTGAGAGGAGGGGGGGACGAACGGAGTACATGCCGCGTCCTGGTGGTGCTTCGCTGCAAGTGCAAAGTGCTTGCTGCCGGTTGTGCACCTCTATCCACATGGATGGCTGCCCGGCTACACACCCCCTTTGGCCGGGGAACCACCAGCCTTTGAAGCGTTCCCTCTCTCTCTCTCACTCACTCTCTGTCTCTCCTAACATCTTCACCCAACAACTAATCGACGCCGGTATCGTCGCCTAGGACCACCGCCGTTGTTCAGGGTTCAATGAATGGTCGATTCATGGGCTGGGCCTTTGCCCGCTCGGCCACACACACACGCACGTAGGTACACGCAAGCGCACTCTTCTATCTGCCTCTGTCGTCTCTCCAACCCAGAACCTAGCACACAGAACCTAGATACCTAACCTGCCCACACACCACCCAGGCTATTATTATACACTCGACTGGTCTGTTCAGAGTGCCACCATCGGCGCCGTGTGCAAGTGCCACAGGTCGAATCACACCAGAGCCAGCATGCATATTGGGGAACGAGGGCATGCCATGGGTAGGTGATGGGATACCTGTGCGTGCTTCTGCTGCTGCTGCGTATGTGCTGTGATCCGACTCTCTCTCAACCACCATGCTTCCACCTCCTCCTCCTCCTTCTCAACGGTCAACCACCCCCCCTAGTCTCACATCCCTACACTGCTCCGCCGTGCATGGACACACTAGACATACATAACTCGCGGTAGGCGCCCGCCTTGTACCGGCTCCCCTCCTTCTTCTCTTTTGCGACCCGTTACATACCAAACGAGCATATTCGGCTCTGCTGGACCTCATATCTCTTTTTCCTTTAGGCATCTCCTTTTCGCTGGTCTTGTTTGCTGGCCCCGAGGCGTATTCAACCTCCCCATAGCTTGCACTGCGTGCCGCTATCCCCAAGTATCTACAGGCTTCATAGAGCAGAGTGCTGCCGGCAACGGCTTTCCCCCCTCGATTCCCAGCTGTACGGGAAAAAGCAAAGAAGAAAAGGGTACCAAAATTGCCACGGAGGAGGCTGTCCTGCGCTGTAGACTGCAAGTCAGATATAGCCAGTCCACGCCCTCTTGAACATTCCTCCACCCCACTTTCCGTATCTGGGAATAACCACTTACACACATACACACAAAATGGTGAGTCGAGGAATGACAGTCAAAACGGGGGTTTTGCGACGCGGTGTGTGGCTTTTGAGGCTGACTTTGCGCCGCTAGAACTACACACAAGAATATGAAAGAGGCGAGCGTCGCCTGCGCCATGAGATGCGCGAAAAGGCGCCCATGCGCGACACATTCTTTGGCATCAAAGCCGAGCCGCAAAGGCCAACGTCGGTGGCGACCGAGTTCATGGACATGGAATGGGACGACGACGTGCTCAGCGAGTTTGAAGACAACTCTCCTCGGATCAGTGTCAACTCTGTAAGTGATTTTGTTGGAAGCGGCAGTGGCCTCGTCTCCAAGAGGGCTATAGCTAACGTGTGTGGGCGCAAAAAAGTCTGGCGGCCAGCCAAGTATCACGACACTCTCATCCTACGATGAGGTGCAGACGCCAAGATCGAGTCAAGGGCGGATGATGTATGCGACAGAGATGATGGAGTCACCAAACAAGAACATTGAGGGTCCTTCCGGCCCGCACCTGTTCCGTGCTTCCACCGCCAGCTACTTTGACGAGGCCATCCTGACGCTGTCCCCGGTGACACCCAAGACGGCGCGACCTTTCGATGAGCCATTCCGACACATCAGACCGCAGCAGCCGCCGATGCCCCCATCCAGACACCAGAGCGGTCCCTTTCAGTTCACGTACGAAGAGTTTGAGTCGAGGGAGCTCGTCTCATGGACGCCAGAGATGGTTGCGCAGTCGATGCTCAATGCTGGCATTGAGCTCTCGGTCGCCGGCCGCTTCGTGGAGAACGATATCAACGGGCCCATCCTAATTACGTTGAAGTTTGAGGATCTCAAGGAGTTGGACATTCCGTCATTCGGCATGAGGACGCGCGTTTGGAACCAGATTCAGGTCTTGCGCGACAGCAGACCCAGCTCGCCACGCGCCCCGACGCCGATCCAAGACGAGCCGAGCCGAGAAGTCAAAAAGGAGACTCGCGAGGTCCGGGCGGCGGAAAGGCAGCAGACGGACGACTGCGGGATGAAGAGGAGCAAGAGCAGCAGAAGGCGGCCCAAGAAGCCGTCGCACGACGATATCATCACGCCCATGGAATCCGTGTCCATCGTCGGCATCGAGCAGGTCGTCCCCAAGCCGCACCAGTGCGCCAAGGGCGAGAACTGCTCAAAGTGGAGGAAGCAGCAGCGCCTCATCGAGGCCTTCAAGAAGGAGCACCCCTTTGTCGACCTCGACACGGAACAGGTCGTCATCACCGGAAACCCAGGCAATCCGCACACTGCCAGGGCTCTCGATCCTACGCAAATCCTCAGGCCTGTCTCGGACGCCGTCCCGTCCGTGGTGGCTTCCTCTGACGTGCTGGGCCCCGGCAACGCCACGCCTCTGCAGTATCTGCAAGAGGCTGCCCTCCGCAACGTCATCTCGAGGGACCCCCAAGACAATGTGCGCCAGTTCCTCGACTTCCAGAAGCACGAGGATACCACGGTGCCGCCGACACCCCCCTTCGAGATGGGCTTCCCTGCCATGAAGGCCCAGCCTGAACGCCTCCGTCACCTGCCGAAGCTCTCCATCCCGGGTAAGCAGGCTCCTCGCGCCAGCCCTCTCCGCGCCTCGACAGTCCCTCCTCCGTCAGCCCACCCGGAGCCGCTCCCGACACCCCCGTACCACCAGCAGCAGCAGCCGCAAGGCTTCGTCCCCTACCACATGGACCGGGCCGAGGCCATGTCTCCGGACCTGCAGAGCCCCATCAACAACCCCTACCGCTTCGGGACTCCCTTCTCCGAGATGGATGTCCCCGTCACTGCCGTGCCCATGGACCGCATCGCCCGCGACGTGTCCCAGTCTGTTCCTCCTGAGATGAACTACCGTCCCGGCGTCTCCAAGCAGCAGCAGCCGCCCCTTTCCCGCACCCAATCCCGCTCCTCTGCCCGCCGCCCCTCGTTCCCCGTCCTTCCCGCCTTGAACGAAAACACCGCGACCCCCATCGCCCGCACATCGCCCAGACACACTTCCCCACGCACATCCGTCCGCCCTCAACCCCTCCAGCAACAGCAGCCTCTCCAAGCTCCTCCCCGTGTGAACTACCCCTGGTCCCCCATCGAGCGCACAACCCCCTTTGAGCAAGCTATCCCGCCCATTACCCACCTCGCGCCCTCCCTCCCCGTCAAACAAGCCGCCTCCGCCGCTCAGCAGGACGGCGTGACCTTCCAGGGCCCCATGAAGAAGCGCAAGACAAAGATGCTCCGCCACGAGTGGAACGACACCTTCTGCACCCTCAAGGGCACTCGTCTCGCCGTCCACAAGGACGCAAAGACGGTCGACCGCACGCTCGAGTACGTCGACGTCGACGACTACGCCATCGCGTGCTCCAGCCTCGCGTCGCAGAGCAAGCTCTCCGCCGCCTTCAAGGCCGTCCACTTCAGCTCCTCGTCGTCACACAGCCGCGAGAAGAGCGACCCCGTTGCGGCGTTTAGCTTCCAGCTCATCCCGCAGGACAAGGACAAGGAGTCCGCGGGCGCCAAGCTGCGGAAGCGCGGGAGCGCGCTGCACGGCTTCGGGCACGGGCACTCCTCGAGCTCCGGGTCGATCCCCGCCGAGGGCGCCAACGGCACGGGCAAGACACATCATTTTGCCGTCAAGAGCCGCGATGACCGTATCGATTGGATGCGGGAGTTGATGCTCGCCAAGGCGCTGAAGCAGAAGGGTGATGGGTTCGAGGTCAGTGTTAACGGCAACATGATCTAGACCTCCCTGTCGAAACGATCCTTTCTCAAAAGCCAAGGAAAGCACCGAATATCCGATAATGACTTGCGTTTCGTGTTTAACGTCTGTTTTTCACTGCTTTTCATCTTCACTTCAAGCAAAGCAAGCCAGCAAGCCAGCAAGCGAGCAATATTTGCCTCGGGGACTTTATTTCTCTTATGAAAGGTCGTCATTGGTACACTCTTTTGCCATATTTTGGATTTCTTCTTTGGAGAGGTCGAGCTTCTCGGGCACTCTGAGAAGCTTGAACCATCTCCCTCGTCTCCTTTTTCCATTTCATCTCCTCTCTTGCATAAGTCATCTGGATAGCGGCATTTGTTACATCCTTGAAATCAGATTCTCCCTCCCCCCTCTACCTGACGCCGGGTATATGACTCCTTTTTTTCCTCTATTTATTACAACAGGGGGGGAGGGAAAGGATAGGAAACCCGGGGATTTTGATTTGGACAACTCTGTTGAGGTTCCTTACTGAACATAATTATTCTATTTCTCGCTGTCTCTTATTTCTCTGATGAAAACCGAAAAGAAAAAACAAAATACCAAAAAGAAAACAACACGTACGGAACGGAAACGGAATGAAATGGAACGAAAAGACACTCCTTTGCCCCTTTTTTTCTAAACATATTACTTACTACTGGGAGGGATTACCATGATACCTAAGTTTACTTTTTTGTTATAGCTATTTGAGAGAGTTTGGTTGCAAAATGAAAAATAGGGGGGGGCCTGAACAGGAGCCGAGCCGCTTTTGTGGGCGACGCTCCGGGATCTCGGTTATGAAGATGAATACCATTTGCTCTTTCTTCTCGTGTGTTTTGAAGCTGTGAAGACTTCCCTTGTGATGTGATGTATCAGAGATTGAACTTTGGTCTTTGCTCAAGAGAGAGTCTTGGCCTGGCGCGAAATGCAGTCAGGGGAAACAGAGTTAAGAGGAAGAGGGGGGGCGGGGTTGAGACGAGACGATGAAGAGTCTTTGCTGAGTTGAGCGATTCGAATAGAATCCATCTATCAAAGCCTTTTTTCTTTCCCAAGTTGAAGCAAAGATGAAAGGCAAGGGCAATGGAAGGTTTACTTGTGGGTGAGCTAATTCGACCCGGCGAAGCTCGTGGGGATTCTCTGCAGTTTCCGTCTGACATAGTGGCCGGGTCCTTTTCTGGAACTCTGCATAAAGAACGGAGCATTGCGGTCCTGTTTCGTCGCTTCGCTTGCGGCATCAATGTATGCGAAGAGAGACGTGGAGGTAACTTTACCTCGCCCCCTTGGATCGGTTTCAAGATATCAACAGGGCAAAGCTTTTTTTTTTGCATCACCTCCAGCCGGGCGCGGTTAGACGAGGCGCATTATCTCAAAGGTCCAGTTGAGGACCATCAAGAATTCCTTGCTGGGTCTTTTCTTCCCCTTTCCCTTGCTGTCGCTGAATGAATCAAGGGCAGCTTAGGGTAGGAGAAGGTATGGTCTTGCCAGCAGCTATATGGAGAGGCCGAGGGGGTGAGCCGGGTGGTACGACCAAGAGTCGTACTCAATCTATAGAGCACATCTAAACAGTTTGTTCGGTTCAGAGTGATGGCACGATCTTAATTACCAGGGGGGGGGGGAAGTCTTTAAAGTAGTACAGGAATAGTACATGTTCCTCTGCAACCACCCATCTTCTCTATATGTGCAGCGGTTTCTATTCTTACAGTTTCGTCTTGCCTTTTTTGATAATTCCTACATGTAGTCCGCCAGTCCGTCGCCCGCCCCCGACTACTATCCACACAAGATCTTGCAGGACTATAGGGGGGATATCTCCCGTGTCGATGGACGGGTCTCTCCTCACTTCTCCCCCTTTCGCCCCAACTCTCTTCAAAAAGCTTGGCTAAGCTCCCCTATAGCGGCTTGTAGGTCGCATAGTAGTCGCGCCACAGCCATCATTTCACCAGCTCTCGCAGCTCCCGCAAGTCCGGCGATCACTTCTCACCCCCGCCTCCTCCTTTCTTAGTTTACCGCATGAACTGTGGCCGGGAAGGGATGTCCGCCGCGAGGTTGACGGCCTCCCAGTCAATCACCTCCCACCACGCCTCAGCAAACGCCTTCTTGCCGCCGCGGCCGCCGACGCCGAGCCCGTAGTCGCGGATCCACGTGTGCTCCCACGTGTTGAGGCACAGAAGCGGCACGGCGTCGAGCGCGCCGGGCGGCTTCGTTCCCGGCCTCTGGGCGGCGGCGCTGCGCTGGAAGTACTTGTTGGCGGAGCCGCCCAGGCCGACGGTGTTCATGTCGGTGCTCTGGAGGCGCCAGTGGGCGCCCGGGTAGGGGGAGCCCGCGAGGTAGGTGGTGAGGATGCGGTAGTCTTGGTGGCCTGCCTTGACGAGCCAGACGAAGCCGGGACCGAACATGGAGGAGGCGGTGAGGATCATTTCGCGGCGGAGGGTGTCGATGGAGGAGAAGGAGTGGGAGAGCTCGGCGGCGAGGGACTCGGGCATGGGTTTCGGGTTCGGGGTGATGTTCTTGAAGAAGAAGTGGGTGTTGTGCGCCATGGAGGCGTTGTTGAAGACGGGGGCTTGGGAGGGGTCCTGGGCCGAGGCGAGGAGGATTTGCTTGACGTCGCGCTGTTCGAGGTCGGTGCCTGTGTTGCTGTGGTTTAGTATATCTCTGGTTGCTTTGTGTGTCACGTTGAATGTGATTGGAACGATTCGAGATTATCATGCGACGGGAGCTAGGATCGCCGAGTTAGGAGAAGGAGAACAGCGTAGACTGACCTGCAATCAAGGCATTGAGCTTGTCAAGGACAAGCGTCATGTACTGGTTCCACGCCATATCGTAACCGTCGGCCGACAGCAGACCCGGCACGCCGTCCTTGAAGTCGTGGGAGAGCTGGGGGACGTAGTGTATCGAGCGCTGCTGGAGAGGTCTGGCCGGTGCTGCTCTGGCGGCGGCGGCGATGCTCGCGCCGATGCGCGGTAACCTTAATCGTGAGAACATTATTGTGGTATGTGTATGTCGGATTTCCTCAATCACTGGTGGATCTTGGGGAGGACGGTCGTTTGGAGGGGCGTGGTAGGGAGGTTGAACCGTGTCGCCGACGAAAGGGAAAGCTGTAGGCCGGGAGCTTCGACGATGGTGAACTTTTTTTGGGACGGCTGTTCCCGCGTGTCCAATTGGCGCGTTTGTTTGTGGCCTTATGATTGAGGCGCGAAGACGTTCCGATGTTTTGTGGGGTCTTTTTCGGGGGTGGGTCTATGAGCCGGGAGGCACTTGGTGATGGCTTCAACTTACAAGATGCAACTTCCAACTTGCACGGCATGACGACTAATGAGGAGCATCTTCCGAAGAGTTCGGGGAAAAGACAACCCTGTGTTGGATTTTCTTGTGACTTGATCGACTGGAAGAATCAGCGACCGGCCACTGCTCAAGCTCCTCCCGGATGGTTCGGTTCTAAGCCGTGAATGCACCAACATCGACTTCAAACCCAATTTTCAATCAACGTCACTCGTCAGCCCGCCAATCCTTCCACACTCGTAGTCTATCATTGTCACGACCAAGGTTTGAACAGGCACACCGACGTAACCGCCAATTTCAAAGCTTACGGCATGAACTCGGTTCCAGCCCACGGCGACTGCGTAACCGCCCGCGCGCCCGCTCGTCTTACACGCACCACCGCCAAAGACTGACTGGGCGCAGTACTGAGAACCACCCATGAGCAAACAAGGTCGCTGATCCTCCTTCCGCGCTCTCTATGAAGGGCTTGCTACACACTCACATGTATCTTCTCTCGTCACGCGTCATCGGACAGCACTTCTCACTCCACTGGCGAATGCTCCCAATAGGCCGAGATCCAAGATCAGCAAATCACCTGATCCGCTCCCAGCAACAAGAGAAATCAATGCCGACAATCTTCTTCAAACAGTGCATCTTCAACTCAAGTGCTGTAATTAAATATATCCTACATCGGAGTCTCCCCCATTCGTTCGTCGCAAGGAATGTCAGAGATCAGACGATCGAGACTACTTATACCTAGTAGGGGCGATACGGTTGGACAGCCGTCGGCTCATTTTGAACCCCCCCTCCCCTTCCCATCTCAGACCGCGGCATGCTGGAAGGTTCACAACAGTTGGGACCGGCCAAATAGACGACTACCTCGATGCGACTACTTTGACTTCTTCAACTTATGGACCTATGGCTTTACGATCAACTTAGAGGCACCCATTCTTGTTCTTGTTCACGCTCCTTCTTCCTCAAGTTTTTCTGCGGTCAACAGGCCTAACGTTTGCACTTTGTTGGACAACATCTTCTTCCCCGACGTGTACTCAACTATGATCAGCGCCGGGGTTCGCTCATCAGACTACGGGAATTGTTGAGCGTTTCTTTGCTATATGCCAACACGTTTCCCGATGGTCGCTGCTTCTTCGTTTTAACTTGTATTTCTTTTCACTTGATACAGGTTTTTTGCAAGATATATGTTTTAATTCTCAGTATTCAAAGGTATGGCCATGGATAAACGCCCCGTTACATGCAGCCCAACCCAACCCTATGCCGAATGACAGCCTGATCCCGCGGAAATCCCCACGGAGCACCACCGAGGAGGAGAAACGTCATATACAAGAAAAGTCCGCCAGCCTCGTGGCTTCAAACCTCGTCGTCTTCAATCATGCCAAGGACATCCAATTCCGTCTTGACCAACCGCTCAAACTCTTCCCTGTCGATACCGGACGAACGAGCCAGCAGGAAGAGACTGCGAATGCTCCTCGACACGTGCTGCTTCACGCCGAACTCGTTCTGGTCCTGCTTGCCCACGCTCTCCTCGAGCTTCTCGACCAAGCGGCTCCCATTGCTGCTAGCGCTCGAAGCCGGGCGCGGATGAAGGAGCACAGCAGCCCTATCTTCGTCAATTTGACTATGAATCGAGGGCGACCGCGGGGGTTCAGCCAGTGTCCAGGAGCCGTTTGTCTCGTTCAGACCCTGATCCGAGTTATGCTGGCCTACAATAGCGCCGAGTCCCAGAGGAGGGGCCGTTTCGAAACCCTCAACCTCTTCGTCGGGATCGTGAGCGTCCATTGCCGGTTGTACTGAATCATATTGTGCATAGTACGCATCCTCTGCCGAGTCGGTTCGGAACTGGCCCAGCTGCGACGCCTGTGGTACGTGCGGCGCGGGGGAACGCTTGATGGCGGCGGGGGACTCATTTGCTGGCGTGCGGGCAGGAGTTGCGTCGTATCTGTCCCAGTAGCCATCGTCCTCATCATCATCCGCCTCGGCAGCGTCATAGTACGCTGAGCTGGCTGGTGCCTTTGACGTCGTCGTCGCCTTTGACTTTTCGTCTGCATAGGCCTTTTCGGCCTCGGCGATGGTCGAATAGCCGCCAAAAGTTCCAAAGGGTGCCGCCTTGTCGGTGACGCTAACCTCGCCGATCCTCCAGCCGTCGCCGCCGCCATCCTTGTCGCCGACGCAGTAGATGAGTTGGAAGGTCAACTCAAGCTCCTCGAGAGCAACAAAGGCCTGCAGGGTCTCGAGATCGAGCCGCCTGTACCTCGTCTTCGCGTCGTATTCCCAGTCTACCTCGACCTCGCCAGATACTGGGTGAGGCTCTAGCCTGCCGCTCTGAACAATCTCTGCCAGGCGCGCCGCCTTGTCGGTGTCATATGCGAGGAGACGGAGCCATGGCTCGGTGCTGGCCTCTGAAAGAAGTTGGACTCTTTGCCTCAGGATAGGGCTGAGAAGAGGCAAGACGCCGATGGCGGGCTGTTTAGAGATGCTTGCTGGGACGAGAGCAGGCAGTAATGGAGCCAACAGGCCGCCGATGTTGGGCATTGGTGTGGTAGTTGAAGCCATGTTTGTGGTCGTGATACAGGTAAGGGTATGCTTTCAGAGATATCGCTCCCTCGCGGCCACTCCTTGCCGGGCGGGGAATGTAAGATATTTGAGGAGGCGAGATGCCACTGGTTGAGTCTGAGCGACTGTGGTGGTTGGTTGTGTGTATGTGTTGGCGGCGGCACTCGTGACAGTAGGTATCACATGCGGCAGCGCTACTGGGTATCCTGGTGTTCAGTTCAGCCTGCCTTGGAAATCTCTGCCTTTGTAGTTGGGTCTGGGCAAAGTGGTAAGTAAGTAAGTGTTGTAAGATATGAGGTATGAGAGTATACACGGTAGAGAGAGGGGATCGCAGAAAAGAAAAGGAGGAAAAGTCGCGACTATTATGAGAAGCAGGTGTGAGAGGCGAGGCGAGACGACAAAGTCTAAGGTAAGGAAGGTATGGTCTCCGTCGAGTTACGCAGAGTCGGCGGCCCCACGCTCGATGGCTCCGTGGTTCCCCCCTCTCCCGTCCCAGATCCCAAGGAAGTCAAGGGCCAACAGGTCCAGATCCACCTGGAAAAGGCTGGTGTCGACCTTCCCGGGTGACGGATACCTACTGCGTAAGGTGGTGAGTTCGGTCGGGGGGCTGACCCCACAGTTGAGGGGAGGCAAGGGCGGGCAAGTCGCCAAGGCAGGCGGTTCTGGCCAATGCGGAGGCACATTCAAGCAGGTCAAAGGCAGTTGCGACTCCGCCCTGAGCAGTCGTTTCGGACGGAGGGAAGTTGACCACTGACGGTCGACCCAATGCGACATGACTACTTCCCTGCGTGGTACGTAGTACATACCTCTCTCCGAACTTTCCTCCACTGGCTACTTGCCCAGGTGTCCTTGACAAAAGGCGAGCTGACCAATGACACGCTGCTGAGGTCTCTTGCACGTGTCAAGACTCTTCATTGCTTATGGTACCAAAGGTGCCAATTTGCACACAATGGGATTTCCGGCTCCAACTTCCGTATGTCCTTGCCTTCTCATCCACGTCTCGTCTCATTTCGGCGTGGCTTGTTTGGGGCTGCTACCTAGTCTCACGGTTGTTTTTTTCTCTGACGCTGTGTTCCGTCTTTCGTTGCCGGCCCTGTTTCTGTTTCTCTCTCCTCACAAAATATCCGTACGTGTTGGAAAAATACCCGGTATCGGTACCTTATTCTCTTCTCGCGGCTTTCCCGGCGTCTCGTAACAGGAGTTGCCGAGCATTGACGAGACAAAGACATTTGTCAGGACTGCTTTCCCACATGGCATTCACTCAGTGCCCGCATTGCCATGTCTAGACTTCTTCCTCGTTTACCTCTGTCATCACTATCACTGAGGCGTACCTAACATAGTGACCCGTGCAGCACAGGCCCCTGATTGAGGCGCTCTTCATGTAATTTCTTCTTCCTCTGCTCTACCTTATCGTGTCCTCTGTAATCGTCAAAGTGTTATCAATGTAGGTCACGAGGGTTCACCTACCATCGTCACAAGACAGCGAGTCTGAGAACTCGAGATATGTCACCACATTCCTTCTCCTGCAGGCAAGTCTCGCAGCGAGTCCCGTGAGATAGCCAAGCCCCCCTCTCGTCTCTTCTTTTCTTCTTCACTTTTTTTTTCCGATCGTAGGTATGCCATGTTGAAATTGAACTTGCATTTGCATATTGCATCTGTCCGTGGTCTTCCATCGCCGCTCGCTCTCTAAGAATCTCGCCCGCTATGTTTCCCTCCGCACGGGTGAAGGGGACCAGACCCTGCGTGGCTGTGCTGGCACGGCTGGCTAATCTGCTTTCGGTGACTTTTCATCCATCTAGCAAAGGCTCAATGCGAGGAAGATGCCCCTGTTGCAGCCTGCAGCTTGCAGTCACGCCCACAGTGGAGCCAGGCCGCAGTAAACATCCCCCGAGCTGCAGTGGCCAAGTGGGAGAATCGAGAAGGTCCCGTCCTTGACAGCCCGCTATCGTCGAAATTGCGTCACACTGCTTGGGGTCTCCTAGCATTTCGGGGTCGGTTCCATCCAGGCAAGGTAAGGAACCTGGGGGTGTTTGCGCGCGATAAGGCCAAGCAAACTTACCTGCTCGGACCTTAACTAACACTAGTACTCAGAGCTACTCATCTTACGTACAAACAAAAAAAATTCCACACGCGACGAATATCAACGGAAATTCCAGAATAACAGCGACATCTAGCGAACAGACGTTAGAAGATTGTTCGTTTCTTCACAATCCCAATAGAAAATCGCCGATTCTCAAACACGCTCACCATCAATTGAGACCCCTCAGCCTCATTGCGGAAGCCTCAATTCCTGCTGTTTTAGCTTCCCGTCATCGCCACAGAGAGAAACGAATCACGACGGACACCTCGCCGTGCCATCTCGGATCGCGCCGCTTGGACGGACACCCACAGACGACACCAACCATCTGACCTTGATAAACCTCGCACACCCGGGCCCGAAGCCCACTCGTCCATCGCCGAAGGTCAGAGGCAAGCGAGCAGCCGCCTGTCCGCTGTGCTTCTCTCTGTCATCCATTCCTGCTGCATCTTAGAGTTTCTGCGCCAGGTCCCACGAGGACACTACCGGATGCATGTCGCCCAGCGGCGAACGCCTCAAGGATGAGGTAAGGCTAGACCTAGACCTTTCCACGCCTGATGTGACGGTCTCTCCGACCTGTCAACGACCTCAAGTCACGTCACGATGCTGACACACTGTTCGCGCCCAGGGCTCCCGTTTGCAGGTTGTAACGGCCGGCGCCACCGCCGGCCTGTTTGCTCGGTAAGACAAAACCCAAAGGTTGAGGCTTAGTGATTCACGCTGACCATTGCCGTCTTTTGTCGCGATAGCTTTGTCATTGCCCCCCTCGATGTCGTCAAGATCCGCCTGCAGCTGCAGACGCACTCGCTCTCCGACCCTCTGTCGATCCGATCAGCCAGGGGCGGGCCCGTGTACAAGGGCACCCTGAACACCATGAGGCACATCATCGCCAACGAGGGCATCACTGGCTTATGGAAGGGAAACGTCCCCGCCGAGATGATGTACGTGTGCTACTCGGCCGTTCAGTTCACGACGTACCGCACCACGGCGCAGTTCCTCAAGACCGCGTTTGACAACCGCCTACCGAACGCCGCTGAATCCTTCATCGCCGGAGCCGCTGCCGGCGCGGCCGCCACGACAGCCACATACCCCCTCGATCTCCTACGAACCCGATTCGCGGCGCAGGGCAACGACCGGGTGTACACAAGCCTCCGGCGCGCGGTGGCGGATATCTATCGGGACGAGGGCCCACGCGGCTTCTTCCGCGGCCTCGGACCCGGCGTGGCGCAGATCGTCCCGTACATGGGCATCTTCTTTGCTCTGTACGAGGGCCTGCGGCTGCCGCTGGGCGATCTGCACCTGCCTTGGGGCGGCGGCGACGCCACGGCCGGCGTCCTGGCCAGCGTGCTGTCCAAGACGGCCGTCTTCCCGCTCGACCTGGTGCGGAAGCGCATTCAGGTCCAGGGGCCGACGAGGGCGCGGTACGTGCATAAGAATATCCCCGAGTACCCCGGCGCGGTGCGCGCCATGCGCATCATTTTCGCGAAAGAGGGTGTTCGCGGGCTGTACCGGGGTCTCATGGTGAGTCTCATCAAGGCTGCGCCGGGGAGCGCGATCACGGTTTGGACGTATGAGAGGGTTTTGAGGGTGTTGCAGAGACTTGATGGTTCTGATGACCAGCGGTTTTGAGTCTTTCTACACGGATAAGAAGGAGAGAAAAGGAGACACTAAAAGTTGCGCGTGGGCTTAAAAACATGATACCCCTTTTTAGAGAACGGGAATGGGATAGAGAGTTTCCTTGTACAGCATTCCGAAGGTTATAGATACATCCTTCACATATAGATAAGACGTAATACACAAAGGCACATTTGGTGCGTCAGGAGACAACTTTAGTCGCCAGAGATGGCTGTCATTCATTTCTGTGACGAGTACACACACCTGACTACGGGACTAACACATAGATCTTGCAGGAACCCTCAACGGCGTGGAACATTTGCTTTGCTACCTGTAGGCGGGGGATTTAAACACGACAATCACAATGAGATGAGGAAGAATGGAGTTCCGAACGAGAGATTAGTTGCTTGATGGTGTTCATTCTTTGATCAAGGCCGGTGGCGAAAGCGCCTGTTGGCTCAGCGTCCTCGAAGGGCTGTGGTTCCCATTAGATGACACCCCCATCCACGGAATTGTCCATCTTCGTATAGTTCGAAGCGGCATGACACCACTGGTTGCCGATTCCCATTGCGTTGTATTGGAATACTCTCCAGCCTCCGACGGGAAACGGAGAGAGACGTGTGACTTATTGGGGTTAGTACGTGGTGAGGTGAGACTAATCAAGGCCGATGAATCCCATCTCTTGACCGTAGCTAGGGTACGTCTGGAAGCCATTGTGCGCATCGCACGAGGGCTTGGATTGGGTGTGGTTGATGTGTTCCACGTTCGGCAGAACTGACTACCTTGAATATGGAATAGACGACGGCTGCCCCGGGGAGGGGCCGACGAGACGTCGGATCTCTCATTATGCAGGGTATTCTTGCCATTGAATCGCTATCTAAGTTATGTCCAGAAGTAAACGGGTAAGCGACGTTGGCAGGTAGATTTAGGATATCTCAATAGCTGTCATGGAATGGAGTCCAAATTCAGGGTCCCTAACTCTTATCTTCATTATAACAGATACGCGATGCATTTGATTCCCGTTTTTTACTTCCAAAAGAGCTGGTCAACTATGAAGTCTCTTAGGGAATCGATGGTCTTATGGATCTTACGATTCATACGTTAATGAATGAATCTCATGCAATAGCATAGCGTGCTGCCTCAGAGACATTGTTCATCACTTTATGTGCTTCGTGATTAGACTCACTGATTGGACTCGACTAAAAAAATGAGTCTACAAGTGGGCTCGAACTGAAGACCTTCAAAAAGAAGAAGCCACCAGGGTCAATTTTCTTTGGGTTGAGGTCGGGAGTGGGCAGTCCCAACTATTAGGCCAAAGAGATCTCCTCATCCGATGGTGGCAGAGGAAGCAAATTACCGACCTAGAGACCATAGGCGGTCACTGAGTGTATGAATACTCACGTCTATTGATACCAAAATATGTATATTCGTCCCGTCCACCATGATCAGCAACACACACCGATTTTCTCATTACCTCATTACTTCTCCAACGTCCCATTCTCCTTCAACCCAGCCACCTTACCCGCATTAACCCGGTCCGCCCTCTCCGTGCACTCCTCAATCACCCGCCAGAACATGGGGATATCTAGCCCGCGCGGTATCCTCACGCCCTCGCTCCCCGGCGGCAGGGCTTTCGCGACGGTCCGCCCCAGCTGCGACTTGCCCGTCTTGGCCTCTTCCAGGTCGCCCTCCGTGATGACGGTGAGCTCGAAGCGCTCGTGGTACTTTACGCAGTTGCCCTTTTTGGCGTCGTAGTCGTGAAAGGGGATCTCGTGCCGCGTGCCCGTCAGCACGGCGGCTACGGCGAGGGGGTCGTGGAGCGGAGGGCCGGCTGTGATGCCGAAGACGTCGCTTTTCGCCATCTGTGTTAGTATCACCTGCGATATTCGTGATGAGGCAGTGGGAGGGAGGGGACGAGTGTAAGTGAACTCTGTGTGTATACACATACCTATACGTCTTGGCGAAGAACATGAGGAGCTCAACCAGCATCTGCCTCAGCGTCGTCTTCCCCTTGCCCGTCTTCTCCCCGCCGTGCGTACCATACAGAAGCGCGTCCCGCACCTCCTCGGTAGCAAGAACCTGGTGCGACAGATCAAGTGGCACAAGCGTCGTCTTGGCCGCGAGCGCCTTATTATGAAACACGGCAGCGGCGGCCTCGGGGTCAATGATGATGTTGAACTCGGCCCACGGCGTCCAGTTACCCACGCGGGGGACACCGTCCACGACACCCAGTACAATGTCGGTGAAGCCGTCGCCGATGGCGCCGCCCATGATGCTCAGGCCCTTGAGGTGCGCGACCAGGTCCGGGTACTTTGCGAAGAGCTCGGCGACGTTGGTGAGGGAGCCCGTGGCGACGAGCCAGGCGGTTCCGGCGGGCTGGGCGGAGAGGGCGGCGGCCATGGCGTCGATGGCGGGTACGGAGCGGTCTGCGTCTTTGGAGGGTTGGGGGAGGAGGTCGGTGCCGTCCAGGCCGGATTCGCCGTGGATGTCGGTGGCGGCCTGCATTGGCGGGCGGGACATTGGCTTTGCGGCGCCGACGTGGACGGGGATGTCATTGTGTTTGCCGATTGCTGTGAGGATTGAGGTGGCGTTGTTTGTGGTTTTTCTGAGATGGTAGTTAGTATTGGGATTGAGTGATCATGAGATGTATAAGAGATGCGGGATGCAGGATGAAGTTTACTCACTCGAGGGGGGCGTTTCCGAAGACGGTTGAGAGGCCTAGCAGCTTTATTGTTGGGTGGTAGGCTGCTAGGAGGATGGCAAAGGTGTCCTGTGGAACTAATTAGTACCGGCTTGACGGTGTTCAGTGATGATTTGTTGCAGTATGTCTGACTTGTCACCAACATCTGAGCGAGGCAGCGTAACATCACAGGGACAGGATGAGTGACACATCGCGAAGCTTAGGACAGACAACAACTCACATCATGGCCGGGATCACAATCCAGCCAGACCGGCACCGGTGTTTCAGGCAAATCGAGGTCAACCATGATGGCTCAGGGTAAATGGTTGTTGAGGATGACAGGTATGTGTGTGCGTGTGATTTGTGTCTTATCACAAGAGGCAGTGAAACGGCACAAGATTATGATGAAAATGATGCTCTGTACGGATACGTGGGTTTTTGGTGTTCCCTCGGCAAGGTGAGCAGACCACGGACGTTGTCGCCGGTGCCGTGGGGTTGCGCTTTTAGTTTACAAGCCCGTGTCTGGTGTCCACTTTCGGTGGATAAGACCAAACCAAACGAGCACGGGGTGGTGGAATGGAGTAGAACACTGCGCAAAAGGTAAGGTATTCTGGAGCTCCAAGGATGGGGGCGGGGAGCCGGCCGGTCTACAGCGGGTCTGCGGACTGCGGAATTGCTGGTGACGAGTCGAGAGGAAGCAGGAGGTCAATTTTAGGTAATGACTTGGATTTTGGACTTTTCCACACAACGTTTGGCCAATCCCATCAGGACTATGATGTCTGCTCTGTTTCGGCTTTTTCATCTAGGTAATCCCAGTGGTCGGGAAGTCATGGACAAGGGAAGCTTTGCGGTTCCATGGTTCTTGGATGAATCCTGCGCAAAATAAAGTCCACCGGGTTTTTACCTCACAAGTTCACTTCACAGGACGAGATTACTCTTGGGGCGGCGGGCAGGCAAGCACCGTGGGCGGAGTCGGGCGGTCTCTGATAAGTGAGGCGGTGCCCTCTGAGCGCCGCTGCAATTCGACCTGCGCCCGTTTCGGAAGGTCCAGCAGACACACAAACGCATCCACACCCGAGAAAACAACCTCCCGTGCTTGCCGGGTCGCTGGAATTCTGGGAAGCTAGAGCCTAGCTGAGTCACCCTGAATCTTGACTGTCTCGACGTCCTGCTGTGTATTTGAGCTCAGGGATTTGTGCTTTGAGGATGATTCGTAGTGAGAAACCGCCTAACATATCTGTAGCGATAGTCTTCCGACGGTCCAGGGGTTTAAAAGTCCATGTAGAAATCAACATTCTCACACGCTGGGCGGTAAAACAGGACGATTTGTGTGGTCGACGCGCTCTAGTTTGGGCGCGTGAAGGGTATCATTTTGATTTAGCAAAAACGACGGCTGTATGCGTTTGTGCAGGATATTTCAAGAAACAAGCCAGCAGACTTCAAGCAACAGCTCTAGTACAAGCTGTTAGACAGCTTGAGTTGACTTATTTGCCCGCTGCCTTTCGCTGCTCCATTACTCTCAGCACATCAGCGGCGTTGTTCGCGTCGCCCTTCCTCTTCTTGGGGCCTCTCTTCCTCTTGCTCTTGCCGCCTTGACCGTCGTCATCGTCTCCCTCGTTGCCCCATTCCGAGAGCTTCACCGGCGCATCGTCAAAGTCTGCCTCGTCTTCGAACCTACTGGTGCCGAAGCCCATGTCCATATCTTCGGCATCTCGGTCGACACTCTGCAGCATCCTCTTGTGGCGCTCCCGACGAGCCTTGGCTTCCTCGTCGTCGTCCTCCGCTTCTCCCTCCGGATCTTTGTTTGCCGCCTTGAGCTGCGCAGCTCTCTTGAAAGCAGCCTGTATCGCCGGATCAGACATGGAGGGTCCTTGCAGAGTCTGCGAAGATATAAGGTCTGTCTTGGAGTCCTTGAAGTAGTTGCGCGCTTGTGCTGGCCGCGGCGGTGGCGGCATCGCCATTGTGTCGGCGCTGCTCTCGTTCTTGGTCTTCTTTTCGTCCTTGACCTCTCCCTCGCTATCCTCATCAGAGCTGTCATCCATGCCAGCTAGTGGGTCATAATCGTCTCCTGCATCGGCAAAGATGTCGTCGTTGTCGTCTTCTTCAGCTTCTTGCTGTTGCTTTTGGTAAAATTCGGGTACCTCCATACCCAGCGGCTTCGCATCCTTGTCCGGGATAAACTCTTTGCGCATCTCCTCTTCGACTCCTGGCTGCAACTTGCGGACCTTCCTCTTCTCGTGGCCATCTTCGTCTATAATGATCAAGACTTCACGGCCTTTGCTATCCCGTTCGATGCGGCTTCCGGCCTGTTGCCTAGCACCAATCTTCTTAAACT